AAGAACACAACACAATGTCCCCGGCCAGGGCTCGATCTTGGACCGCTCGATCCGGAGTCAAGCCTCCTAACCATGAGGCCACCGCGCCTTCACAGACAAACACATGACTGCGCTTTTGTATGAGATTTTGTATGAACATGCATTTTCCACGGTAAGGGTCCCCTATACAAATGACGGAAATACTCATGGTATCATGGACGGGGCAAATTTAGCAGATAACTTAGTGGTGTTTATAGGGTTTCTCTTCCAGTATTTAAACGGAAAAACCGCTATCACTTCAGGTTCTAACAATTAAATAAATAAACAGTAATGATAGTATGGATAAGATAAGTTATAAATAATGCCACACAATCTAGCTAGACAAAAATTACTCTAAAATATATCAGACTGTCTCTAATTTATTCAAAATAATCGATGTAAATGATTGTCGGCTAACTTTTTGTTTTAGAATTGAGCCAGAGTTTCTGGTGTCTTTTCCAGATCCTTTTCTCACCGCGTCATTGTTCTAGGGACTTCTCACCGACAATTTAGTTATCTAATTCTTCCTCTAATATAGTTTCCTTACATCTCACCAGCAGAATACTCGATATTGACAAATTACAGATATTTGTATCAAACCATCTGTTGCAAAATCTATGGTTTACAAAATGACTATTTACCTCAAGTCACACGGTCTATGAAATAAAAAATTCTAGAGCATACAATCGAAACAGATCTCATAACATAGGCCTAAGAAGGGCATTAGGACTCTTCTAGAATTGTGCACGTTACGGTATGGTAAGAGGTTCCTTTCAAGACTGACCTGTTTCCATTTGTGAAGATACTCTGGAGAATCTTCCCAAGGAATTTGAAGACTTAGTGAATTGTTGACCATCTCATGCGCACCTGGCACCTGGCTTCCAACAAGAAAAAAGAACTCACGCCAAAAGAGCTTACTGTACACCTCTGGAGGCGGATTCACTGTCTTGTTCTGCAAAGAAATTTACAAATGTTCAAGGAATTGGTAACAGCTTGATAGGGTGCCTATCTAAGGGCAGCACCTGTTGACGTGATATGTCCATTGGCAAACATCCAATTACACTTTTCTCTAAGCAGACCACATTACAGGATTAGTAACATGCAAAAGACTTCCCGTGTACCTTTATATATTCCTCAGTCATTCTCTGGTAAAGAAGCCGCGATGAGAGGCAGCCCAACCTCAGGTAAGGACTCAAGTGACTTGCCGACGGCATCAGAGAATTTGCAGTTAATGGCGAATCGCAAAAATCGTTCTCTTTCATCTGTGGGATCAATAAAATAATTCACTACAAGACACAAAGAGTCAATCTGATAGAAAGCTTTAGCCTTATCTAGTAGTTCCACGTCCATTTTTAAGCATAGTTTACTGGCTGATAACTCTTGCTTACAGTCATCGGAAATTGACAAATTGACGTCCCCTTTTCTTGCGTCCGTCCTGTTATTGATCATGAATTTCGTCATAACAATGTGTTGACTCGGCTATCGCCTCGTAAATCCACAGCTACTTTGACAATGCTGTGACGAAATTCATCGACAATGACAGGACAGACGCATGAAAAATTGAAGTCAATTTGGTTTTTACTATAACAACATCGTTATCGTCTGTCCGCTTATTGACATTGAAAATTCGCCAATTAGCTCCAATTAGCTCCAATTAGCACGCGAGAATTTTTGCAGTTACCGTATAATACGTGACGTACAGACAATTCCTACAGGTACAACATCCCTTATTAGAAGCTTTTTCATAATGACTAAAACAAGAGGGAGTAACACTTATTTTTTTTCCTTGTTGTTTGTCTTACACGTTATTTCCTCCCTTTGCAAAACAGAGATTGTTCTGAACTCCGTTGGGCACACTTCTCAAAAGAAAAGAATGTCAAATGCATGCAAGGCTGTGCAAGGAGTACTGCACCTAAATTACAAACTACAGGGATATGCATAGCAAAAGGAGTCATACCTTTTGCAAAGCTGCTTCCATTCTCGTTAAAGCCTCCTGCTCTCCACCTGGGTAAAACCAAGAGCTGGTAGCAGCTGGTTTTTGGAAGCCTATCTCCTCCACGGTAGGTACTCCGTATTGTTGGTTATGGTCTCTCGCTACAGGAGTCAAACAGGAGCCAAACAGCTGTCTATTGACCCTTGGTGCCGGCATCTGTGGCCTTCCTAGCTGCAATGCAACCTCCATAAACTCATCAAACACTTGTGGTGCTCTTCCCTCAGTTGACATCAACAGCACTTCAGCATCATAAAGAGTGTGTGAAACACGGCTGATCACTTCAACTCCACTTTGTTTAGCAAGACCAGTGATGACCGCATCCCTGCTCTTCCTAAATGGCTCACAATCAACCTCGAACGACAGCCGAGTGATGCCCCACTCTTTAAAAAGTGAAGGCAGCATGTCCATAGGTCTTCCCTTCAGCACAAAAAGACGTGAACCACACTGAGCAAGACCCCTGTCGAGGTCTTGAAGTGACTGAAGCAGGAAATGCCAGCGGTTTGGGCTGACAGTCATCTTATCTTCAGCAGAACACTCCAAGAAGTACACTCCGTAAAACACCTTGCTGTCTGCGAGACATTCACGCAGGCTGGGATTGTCGTGAAGTCTCAGGTCCTTTCTGAACCAATGAAGGCTCCTATGACCTAAAAAGGGAAAAATTAATAGATCAAATGAACAGAAGCGCCATGCTTCGTACGAGTAAAGATTTGTTTTGACTGAGGCTGGCAGTGACTTCTGTCACCGAACGTCAAATTTTGGTAAACATAATTTCAACAGCATTGAAAACGCTCTCAAACAGAAGGAGCAGAGTCTTCGCTTAACATGTTTGTTCTACATTCAACATGTGAAATGACCAAATTGTTTTTTCCAATTCAACAGTGAGGGGGTCACTTCTGAAACAAGACGCTAAACACATTCAAGTTTAGTAGCGAGAATTTTTTTTATCGTTGTCATCGGTGTCGCCGTCATGGTTGGTAGAGTTCCCTGAATTTCCAGCAGACCTTGTCATCTACCAAACGATGCCCTAGGGGACCACTAGAGGGTTATACAATTCTGAACCCACAGTGTCATAAGGTTTTCTCCAGTGGAAAACAAAACAGTTGAGGGATATAACAAACGCTGAATGAAACTACTACATGAACAAAACATAGGCACGCAAGGCGTGCAAGAGTTATTTTTTT